GAGTATAACATTATAACATGATTTAAAACTCAAAAAAGTTGATTTTATATGATATTGCCCCTTTAAGCTTTGTGTTAGTTTGATGAGGTGTGTTTGTTATTTGGTTAGGGATTAAATTATCAACTTGTGATAAAAAAATTAATTAAAATGCTGTTATTTGTTTTGTTATTTCTGTGTTATTTCTATTTTAAGATTGAGATGATCCAAGGTTCTGGCTCTCAGGCCTTACTTTGTCCATGTTTTGTTTAAAATGCCAGATTTGATTACTTTTTTCTACTGTTTCATGATTATTTGGATCTGAATTTGTCCATTTCCTCCTAAAGGTCTTCCATGTGAAAGCACAAATGATAAGCTTTGCAGTGTTTTCGTGACAATGACTGCTCCGATGGAAGTTCCAGTTGGAACTGCTCCTCTTTCCAACTTCTCCGTGCCTCCACCATCTCCCCTTCGTCCAGCCATCGCCCCCTCCGTCCAGTTGGGTTTCACCATCCTCTTCACAAGTTTATATGTAGCTCTCTTCCTGGTGGTCTACATACAGCTATGGCTGCTCTTCTTCTATAAACACAAGAGATGGAGCTACCAGAGCATCTTTCTGTTCCTCTGCCTGCTTTGGGCCACCCTTCGTGCCACACTCTTCTCCTTTTACTTCTACGATGCCACGGAAGCCAACCGCCTACCTGTTGTGGTCTTCTGGCTGCTCTATTGCTTCCCTGTGTGTCTGCAATTCTTCACATTTAGCCTCATCAACCTGTATTTGACTCAGGTGAGACTGGAGGGAACTGGGAAGTGGTGTGACACTGTCTTGAATTCAGGAGAATAAGAAAATTTAAAAACTAAAGTAAAATTGAAAGTTTTTAGATTATGGTGATAGTTTCATTTGAACAAGGGAATTTCCTTCAACTGAAAGTGCAGCTTCCAGTTTTAAGCTTCTTGTCTAATGTTACTAATGTTATCAAAAAAATTAAATAAAAAAGTAGGTCTTCTTGAAAGGTTCTTCTTTAATGAAACATTTTGTCTCTCCTCTAAGAGACTTTACTCCTCTCTCAAACCAACGTTTGTCTTTAGCAAGGATGAGAAGATCTTCATCCCTGAAAGAGTGATCTTTGGCCTGTAGATGAGTGTAAACTGCAGAGTCCTGGCCTGTAGATGAGTGTAAACTGCAGAGTCCTGGGCCCTCATGTATAAACGATGCGAATGCATAAAAAAGTCCACTTTTCTCACTCATTCTCCATTTAATGTATAATTTYCCTGCATCTAAAAATCATTTCTGATCCCACAGAGAGGACAATGAGGAGAATCTCACACACTGGACACATTTACATCTATTTTACAGATTTAGATGGAGGTGTGTCAGGGGAGGAGTCTCAGGTGTGCTTAGTTCCACGTTTGTTGGGGTGTATAAAGGAAAGGTGTGCAAAAACATGCGTACGCACAGTTTTATACATCTGAATTTTTTGGTGCGGCACACTTTTCTAAATTTGTCCGTACGTCAACTTTTAGTGTGAAAGCTTCACACTCCTTTATGCATGCGGCCTCTGGCCTGTAGATGAGTCTAAACTGCAGAGTCCTGGCCTGTAGATGTTGCTCACCTGTGCCGTTCTTTTGAACAGTGGCTTCTTTATTTCCCCAATTTATATCTGGTCACAGTCCTCCTGGCACTTAACAGCATATACAACATTACTCTGTATGCAGAACGACTCTTTCTACAGAACAACTGTGCCATCTCCTGAAACTGTGCCTGAAGTCAACCTACTTTACATATGGGGCAATGGCAAAAAAATGGTAGGTTGACTTTCCTGGACTGTGGTGTCTCAGTTTCTGATAGAAGACAGTTGGAAACTGATGTGTATTGCAAACCCGCCCACACAGACCAGTATTTGGGTTTTGACTCCCATCACCTACTGGAACACAAGTTAGGAGTCATCAGGACACTGTACCACAGAGAAGACAGTGTCCCTACAAACCCAGGAGGCAGGGAGAAGGAGAAATCACATACAAGACAGGCCATGGAGCAGTGTGGTTATCCTATCTGAGCTTTTCTGAAAGCAGACAAGAAACCCAAACAAGATTCCAGCCAACAACCAGCTGAAAATAAAGACCCTAACTTAGACCCAAACCAGTGGTTATTCCGTATGTTGCAGACATTTCAGAGAAACTGAGAGGTTTATTCTCTAAACATGATGTCCCAGTGGCTTTCAAACCCCAAAACACATTACGGCAAAGGCTGGTTGAACCCTAAAGATCCAGTTCCCCGGCAAAAACAGAGTAATATTGTGTATGCTGTTAAGTGTCAGGAGGACTGTGATCAGTTAAACATTAGGGAAAAAAGCAGCCAATGCTCAAAGGAATGGGCCAGCACAGAAGAGCAACATCATCAGGCCAGGACTCTGCAGTTTACACTCATCTACAGGCCAGGACTCT